AAAATACTTAGTCAAACTATCTTTTGTTTGAACACAAGTAATAGCTCCTGTATACATATCTTTAATGATTTGAATATAAGTGTTATTAACTCCTTTTCAAGAACTCTCCATATCACTTCTCTTGGAACTTTATCATATGCTTTCTCTAAATCAATAAATATCATACGTAGATCCTCCTTATTCTCTCTATATTTCTCCATCAAAAATGAATAATAAGGCTTGAATCAAACACGAACCAAACTTGAACAAGTTGATAATAAATGAACTCAAACATGAACACTCACGTACTCGGCTCGGCTCGGGTCGTTTGCAGCCCTATGCGAAGGTGGACTCGAGCACCGAGAGGAGTCAGGCATGAGTTTTTCTGCGTGCGTGCCTGGAAAGATCCGAACGCTTGGAATAGTGGTCTTGTGCGCGCCTGCAAGGGACTAAGAGCTTGGAGTCCTTATTATCGTACCTGCGACTCTTGTGCACTTCTGGGTCAAGAGAGGGAGTGAGTTTCAATTGAGTTGGTGAAGTATTCTTGCATGTATGGGGTTAGATTGAATCAAACTTTTTCTGTTCCAATTTTTGGCGCTTCTTCTCCCTTTGAATCAAACTTTTTTCTTGCCATAATGTTCATTTCCTATTTTTATCAATGATACGGTTCATATCCTAGATGTAAAAATAGAAGAAGGTACATACCTCCTCTTCATCGAAATAAATGAGATTTTTGTTTTTGGGGGATAGGGTACAAAAAAACAAGAATTCACTAAATTAACCAAATTTTCCTGATGTGGAGGCAATCAAGAAAGCTGCGTAAGTGAATATATAACCTACGGAAAAGTGGGCGAGTGAGTTTTGATTGAGTTGGTGAAGTATTCTTGCATGTATGGGGTTAGATTGAACGTCTAGAAGCAGTCGTTTCTCTGCTTGCAGCTGAAAGAAGAATCAAGGTTTATTCTGTTGTTGTGCCTTATTGCCAGTCTTCTCTTGTTTTTGCTACTACTCCTTTAGGCAACGCAGTCTTCGTTGATGCACTTTACCTTGTTGACTTGATTGGTATAGCCTTTATTGCTACTCTTTGATGTCGCAATGATTGAAGCTAATTCCTCTCATAGCTTTGACCAAATAGAGGACTCTATGGTGCACAAAGGAAGAGAATATCTCCAAAATATGCAACCTTCTATAACTTAAATGGGAAGAATTACTTTAAATGATCTTAATTTGTGAAGACTTATTCAAAAGGGAAAGCTAAGATGAATCACCTTCTTGGGGTTAGACAAAAAAGGAGATCTTAATTTTTGGGCATGAGATGAAGCAGTTTTCATGATTATGTCATGGTTGTGAAATTTTATGACTCCAAAAATTAATGATACTACATTTCGAGATGGGAGGGACTATTCTATGTTATCCCTATTTAAAAATATATTATTTGACTTTATCATTTTAGATTAAAACATCCATCTTTTGATATCTTCAAAAATATATATTCAAAACTTTTTGTAAGTTGAAAAAGGAATCCTTTGATTGTGAAACCTATCAGTTAGTCAAATATAAATGAATTTCTTTTCTTAACAAAAATGAGAGATGTCATACTCCCTTCTACCTTATTCATAGTGATATCTGGGGACCCAAAAAAATTCCTAACATTTCAGGGGCTTAGTAATTTGTATCCTTCATTGACGATTGAACCTGGGTCTTTTGGATTTTTCTCCTAAAAAACAATTTTGATGTTAGCACTATCCTCATTTTTCACACCATGATCCAGAACCAATTCGAGGTGAAAATAAGAAAATTTTGTTATGACAATGCCAAATGTTACTATAACTAAACTCTATCCTCCTACTTTTAAAAAGAATGTATCATTCATGAGTCTTCCTACATTCACACCCTACAACAAAATAGAGTTATAGAATGAAAAATAGCCACCTTCTTGCTTCCATGCAGTCACTTCTATTCCACCACAATGTATCCAAATCTTACTAGGGGAAGCCCTTCTGACTGTCACATATCTCATAAACTGGTTATCTTAAAAGACCTTGGGGCTAAAAATACCAATGGATATCCTATCTTCTTTTTATCCTAAATTACGAACTCATAACAACCCCACATCCAAAATCTTTAGGTGCATTGCCTATGTTCACATTCACAATCAAAATGGAGGAAAATTAGATTCAAGAGCACTCAAATATATTTTTGTCAGATATTCAACCATCTAGAGAGGTTATAAGTGTTATCACCCCACCACTAAGAAAATTCTTGTATATTTTGATGTCACTTTTGACAAACAAAAATCTTATTGCATCAAACCTCATCTTCAGATGGAGATTGAAATTAAAGAAGATGAGGAAAGTGAACTTGCACCTTTTGACCTTCCAACTCAACCTCAAATCGATCCACCTAAACTTGAAACCAAAGCCAGGAAATTTGTGGACAAAGCTCTTATGGATAACATGAGGATTGGAAAGGTATATTCCAAGCGTACAAATTCAAACTATACTTCAGAGCATATCCAAGAATTTGAACTGTCTGCTTAAATTGAGGTACATACAAGTTCACCTAAAAAACCTTCTATATACCTCATAACTAACTTTATATACTTCCACAATTTCTCACATTCACACAAGAATTTCCTGGTTACACTAAGGGGTTGTTTGGTTGCCTGAAAAAGAAATGCAGTGTAAAGTAAATGCAATGTAAAGTAAATGTATTGTATTCCGAATACTTTGAGACTGTTTGGTTGTCTGCAAAATAAACGCAAGATAATTGTTTGCCTTGTTTGGTTAGGTATATCCAGAGTAAGGTAAAAGCGGTGTGTTTGTAATAATTTATTTTGGCATTACAACTAGTGTAATTATAAAAGCAATATATAATAATTAGTATTATTTGGTGTTATAAAATAAAAAATTCAGCTAGTTAAATTTTCACATTGATTTATTTCTTTAATTTTTTGCTGAGAAAATTCCATAGTTATTAAACCTTTTTTTTAATCCATCTAATTATTTATAAAACCACAAAAAAATTTTAGCTGTTTTGAATGTTTTTAAAAATAATAATAAATGGGCATAAATGAAATGATATATTACAGAAATTCAAATTTCTCCTTCTCTATCACTTCCACCTCAATCGAATCGACCTCTCTCCTTCCTCGACGCTATGTGGCTGCAAAGTTCACTATTGGTAGAAAAGCTTTTCTTCTATGACTTTCCTCACCCCGCTTCCCACTTCATAGACCACAACCTCCCCATCCTCACCAATTCCCTCTCCCGCACCCTCCGCCACTTCTACTCATTAGCAGGATCTATCCACCCTTCCCAGCAACGCTGGCAAAACTCCGACCACCAACGCCGCCATAGCCACCAGATTATACCCTCCCCAGTATTAATACTTCCCTTCCCTATCTTCCTTATACAATTCCGCTACATTTAACTCCATTCCCTTCACCAGATAATAATCCACAATCATTATACCCCCAATTGGCCCAATTAGAGCCGACGAGCCCAACAACCAAGTATACAGAAAGCTCTCACTCTATCCCAACAGCTTCCATGGTTGAAATAATAAGCCACTTGAGCTTAGCTCTTAAAATTATGAAAAAATTACTTGGCAATAACCTTTCCATAGATTACTTTTTTCCTTAACATTTTCCAGGTATAGAAAGACAAGAAAAGATGTTATGAGTTAAATAAAATTTTGGCAGTTGTAGCAAGCATAGAAATAGAAATTATGGAATTTGCAATGCCTATACCCTTATTTATAATTTGCAGACGAGATAGTGACGACATCTAATAAGAGTCATTGAGTTGCAAGTTTTAATGTCAGGCTTTTTAGAGGATCAAAATACATTTTCTGATAGTTTCACTGAGTATTACTATGAAAGAATTATCAAAACTAAAATACAGTCAAAACATTGTCTATAATTGGTCTTTCATTTAAAACTTGTGATATTAGGATTGGATAAGATGTTAGAAAGCATGCCATTTTTTTGTTTTCTGTAGAAATAAAAAAGCAACAATTTTTTTAAATAAAATATATTAACAAGATAATAAAGTGTAGAACCAGAGTAATTAAAACAAATTGCCAAAGAAAAAGGAAAATTACAATAAAGTAAATAAAGATAAAAAGAAATCATTTGGATTGTCTGCCATAAAACCTAGTGAATAAAGCTTAGGGCAGCTAGATTTTCTTTAGATTCATGACCCTTGTGATATAAAGAACATAAATCACTTACCCACGAGAGAATCGACAATCTGAATGCTTTCAACAGAGTTAGAATATTTCCTTGCAACACATCTATGTGTATCTATCATATCTCATCAAAAAATCAACTTGCGGACATTCTCATCAAGGGATTTGATAACTCTACCTTTCTAAGACTGATTATCAAGCTGGGAATGACAGATCTGTATTCCCTAGCTTGAGAGGGAGTATTAAATCTTAGTCTTCCCTTGGCACTTGATCCCACAACAACTATGGGGATCTATGGGAGGGGGAGTGTCAAATCCCAGTAGTCTCTTGACCTTTGATCTCACGGCCAGTATAGGGATCCATGGAAAGCTCACCTGGATCATGCCGATCTCCTTACATATTTGGGTGGCAGATTTGGGAAGAATTATATTAGGGCAATTATGCATGATTCTATAGTTATTTATTTCTTTATTAAGATATTTTGTATAGATCTATAAATAAGGATAATTTTGTGTAATAAAATTAAGCATTTTTTCCCTCTCCAATTCTCTAAATTTAACATTGTGCATACATCATTACATGTACATTAAAACTTATGCCTTGATGCCCGCTATCCTATTTTGTGTACATGCACATGCTCTTAGTCTTTTATAGATATGTTTTAGTGCGTGCTTTTGTCTTTTGCGTGATATTTCACATGAATTCATGCATATGCTTGTTCGCTCATTTATTTTTTTCCCAGTAAAAATATTTACTCGTCTCGTAGCTTATCTTTATGCTACATTATGACGTTTGCATTCACGGCTCTTTCATCTCAATGTACTGTGCAGGACAGAAAAAACCACAGTTAATATTGCTTGATCATGGTCTATACAAAAATCTTGATTTTGCTACTAGAGTAAATTATGCTTCACTTTGGAAGGTTTGTTCCTTTGCTGATGAAGTAGTTCTGCTCAATTTTAAACTTTATTGTGTCTATGCTAACGGCATTTTTCTATTTAGGCACTAATTTTTGCTGATGTTAATGGGATTAAGGAGAATAGTGTTAAGTTGGGTGCTGGTGAGGATCTTTATGCTCTATTTGCTGGAGTTCTTACTATGAGACCATGGAATAGGGTAATCGATCCATCTGTGGATCATTTGATTCTAGAAGGAAGTGATACTGACCGCTCTGAACTTCAGGTTATCTTATATTTATTTCTTCTTAATTTTGTTTTAAACTGATTTGTAAAAGTTCAATTGAATTTGTAGTTTCTTTTGCCTTCTTTGTATTTCTGTCACGTTTTCAGAAAAACTGGTTGTATCCTTCAGTTTTCATTGTCACTGATTATTATGATGTCAATGTAGATGCTAATGCTGATATCGATCAGAATTTTAGACTCATTTCCTTAATGATGTGATTTCCAATAACATATAGGATATGATCTGGATTGATTTAAGTCATTGGCTACAGTCATTTTGGTAGTTTCAATGGCTTTATTCCGTGTGAATCATTTTTAAAATGTCACCTTAATTTTTATTAAGGTATGCTTGTTGTCATTTTGATGAACTTTTCAATGAAGATTGTGAGAATATGATTGACTTTCGTGACCCTAGTAATGAAAATTGTGAGAAAACAAAATTATATTTTTTTTATTTTTATCATTATATTAGTAAAATCGAAGTTTGAGAGGCTTTAAAGAAAATAAATTGTATAAAAGTAGTATGCCGTGATGATATTATAATAGAAGTATGAAAATGTTTAGGAGATAAAGAAAATTTTCATCTTACCAAACTTTTTAATATTATTTTAAAGGCTAAAAGATGACAGATGAGTACCAAAGGAGTGTATTGGTTCATATTTTAAGAATAAAGATGATGCACAAGAGTGTGTGAATTAGAAAAAAAATGAAGTTAATGTGCCACGAATTAAAATTATAGGAGAGTAATTCAGCATAGGTTACGATGAGATACCATATTTCTAAAATTCAATTTGGATTCATGTTGGGTCGGTCTACTATGGAAGCTATATATTTGTTGAGATGTTTGATGGAGAGGTATAGAGAAAGGAGGACTTACGTATGATATTAATTGATTTAAAGAAAGTATATGATAAAGTTTTAAGAGGAGTGCTATGGAGAGTTATGAAAAAGAAAGGAGCTAATAATGCTTATATTCAAGTCATTAAGGATATATATAAATGAGCTATTACTTGTGCTCAAACACAAGGTAGTTTGACCAAGTTTTTTTTCTATTTCAGTTGGATTACATTAAGGATCAGGTTTAAGTTCATATATTTTTGCTTTCATCATGAATGTTCTTACTAGACATGTCATAACCCAACCTGACAAGTCATTGATGGACAGGTCCTATTGCGTTGAGCGGTGAAAGATAAATCTCAATATCTATTTTGGAAATGTTTCAAATTTTTTTCTTCCAATTTAAACTTTTAAAACAAATAACAGACTATAGAGCTATGAAAACATCCATAGTATTGAAATAGCTCATATACAAAATCTATTTCATTTATCATTCACTCATCATCAAAATGGCATTTACACAATCATAGTACATGGTTATGAATAGAAGCTAAAGAACTTAATAATAAAAATAGTCATAATTGTGCAAAAATCTACAAAAGAAATACCTATAGACTTAGATCCGATTTCTGAAAATGTTGTTCAACAGGTTGTTTCTCTTTTCTACATCTTGAGTAGAATGCAAAATTGCAATCAACTACAACAACTCAGCAAGCCACAAAAATCAGCCTAAATTTTCAAATATTTTTTTATTAAACATTTTTCAAAATATTTAAATGCAAAATAATAAATCACTATGCTAAGCAAAGTAATAAATGCATAGCAGTTGTCAAAATATTTAAGTAATAATAGTAAGCAGTTAAATAACTAAAATTCATATCACTAAACATAATATAATAAATTTCTCCCGTCCCAGACAGAATCTAAAAGAATTTTGGCCCCTTATAATACTCTTTTGTGCTTATAGAACCATAACATTCCCGTAGGCATCAAAACATGATATTTTGCCACCAGAACACGTCTGTAGGTATCAGAACATGGCTTTTTAGTCACCAGAATATGTCATATATGCACCAAAATATCTTTCTTCTTTTATAATAACATTTCCTAGATCTTTTAAATTCAACCAAGAAAGCACATAATTCAATCTCATAAACATATATTTCATAACAATGTAGCAATTAACGCATAATTTAGCTCATGTGAGAATTACACAATTTTTTATTACAGTAGGCAACATAAATTCCTACTGGGTAAAAATTTATAGTTTCAAAACTAACCAAATTACTAGAGATTGTGTAATACATCATTCTAAGACTTTAATTATATTACAACATTGTTTTTTAGAATCGATATTATTTTCTATTTAATAAAAACCGCATAAATTTCAAAATCCCTAGTGTAAAATTTTCAAAAAATATTAAAAATGTTCAGAATTTCAATCTTTATAACGTATAAAAAGTACATGGAAAAAATTATATTACAACATGATGTGTGCTTCTTGCTTATGATATTCTTCTTGTTGATAAAACCTGAGATGGAATTGTGTAGAACTTGAGTTATGGAGCTCAACCTTAGAGTCGATATTTTTTGTTTGAGTAAAACTAAAATTGAGTACATATAGTGTAATTTTAGAAGTAATAGATCAAGTGATGGGATGATAACGTTGGGTGATTGAGTCATTAAAAAGAGTACACATATTAGATATCTCGGGTCTATTATTTAAAGCGATTGTCAATTAGATCGGGATATTATTAGTATAGTTCAAGTTGTATGATTGAAGTGGAGAAATGCATTGGGTCTGTTGTGTGATAAAAAGCACCCCTCAAATTTAAGAAAATAATTTATAAGATGATGATGAGACTTGCAATGTTTTAAGGCACAAAATGTTGGTCATTAAAATAGATATAAAATTAAGTGTTTGCTAAGATGAGGATGTCAGGTGGATGAGTGATTTTACACTTAAAGAAAAAATGTTAAATGAGTATATGTATGAAAGGGTTAGAGTAGCTTCAGTGGTAGATAAGATTAGAGAGAGTCTTTGTAGATGGTTTGGTCGAATAAAATATTGACTTTCTCGAGATTAGATTCGTTAGATTCAGCCTATGTTAAAAAAGATAAAAATAGGCCTAAAAAGAATTTGTTAGAAAATCTTAAAAAATGACCTTTTTTTATGTTTAAATAAGAATTTGACTCTTAATAAGATACAATGGAGAAAAAAAATTCATGTAGCTGATCTCAAGTAGTGGGATAAAGGCTTGTTGTTATATGTTTTCTTTCATTTCTTTTGAATATTATATGCACAATTGAGCTGGTCCCTCTCATCACATCCTTAATCCACTCGTTCACCTCATTGCACCTATCCTTTGTTTCAGTTATTAATATCCCCACTATCTTAAATCTTTATCATATGTTCTCTTTGGTGGGTATTGCAAGTGTTTGTCCAATTTGACTTTTTTTCAATCTACTTCCTCTGTCGACATTATCATCATTATTGTCATTAGCCTTTGTCCTAATAATCAGTCTAGCTCTCTGTAATCCTTCTAAATTCATAAGCCACTCATCTTTCATTCCTTCTGATGCATTTTTCTTTCAAATGTCATCTAAAGTCGCTATGCCTTACATCTCATTGATAGGCATCACCATTTCTTTTTTTTCCCCTCATTTTGTTTTCCCTTGCTTCATCATATAGAAATTTATTTTTTCTTTTCTCTGATATCACCGAACTCTTCAATTATGAGTTGTTTTGTCCAGGGGAATCTTTAGATTTAGGCTGGATGATTATTTATAGAGGCAAGTTTAAGTTAACCTTAGTTGATAAAGGGCTTTGTGCCCTATCAAATAAACCCTATGATTCATTATTTACAAATTTTTAGTGAGAAACTTGTGGACTCAGATCATGATCATAATTTAATGATGTTATTTTTGCTGCAAAATCACCTACTCAGAGAGTCCCATTCATAAACTTTTATTTGTTAAGTCATTTGGCAGCAAAATCATTGATTAGAGAGTATGTGACACATCCTTGTTCGTGAGAGATTGCTTAAGGATGAATTATATTTATACAATTAACAAGACATTGATTCTTTGTGAGTTGAAGTTATTATTAAACTTATCACTGTCGACAAATGGCTTGTGAGAATGAAGTTTAGGGCGGTAAATTTTTCTTAAACGATTTTAGAACTTCTCAAATATTGGATTTTTAAATTTTATTTGAATTTATGCCCCCAACTGAGTAACTTTAAAATTTGTGTGTATTTTGAAAATCATATAGTCCTCTCAAGCTAATAGCTTTAATCAACGTAAGCATCATTGGGTGTTTGACTATTTTATTTTGTTATTTGAATCTTTTTCAACAACACTGTCATTGACAGGTCCCAAGTCCTAGATGAGAAAAGTGGAGAGTTGCATTAGGTAGTCGACAGCCAGCATAAAACTTGTCGAATAATCATGACATGAATCATTTAATATATTGTGTTAATACTAGGGCGGTCCCTAGAAATGACGCATTGTATGGCCTTAATACATTGACATACGTGCAAGAGCCACTGCATTGACACCCGGATGCAGTGTTGAATAGGTAAGGATTCCCACATTGATAGATGTGGTCAAAGAAGCTAGTCCATGAAACTAAAATTATGATAGGAACTTAGAATTTAGGTTCCCTTATAGGTAAATTAATAGAATTAATAGATATTATAATTCCTAAAAAAATAAATATTCTATGCATTCAGAAAACTAAATGGGTTGGAGAAAAGACTAAGGAGATTGATAGTTTAGGATTTAAACTATTGTATTATGGTATGTTTTAGAGAGAGTCACCTTAGAAAAGGCCCCTTCAAATTTAAGAGAAAAATTATAGTTTTATGGTGCTAAATGTTGGCCATTAAAAGAGAAGCATAATACTAAGTTAAGTGTTGCAAAGATGAGGAAGCTCATGTGGATGAGTGGCTTTACCCTTAGAGATTGGATATGAAATGAGCATATACATGAAAAGGTTGGAGTGGCTCTAGTGGAAAATATGATTAGAGAGAGTCTCTTTAGATGGTTTGTCACATAAAACGGCAGCCTTCTGATGACCTGGTTAGAAAAGTAGGGGTATTAGATTTGACTTATGTTAAGAAAGGTAGAAGTAGACCCAAAAAACTTGGCTAGAAAATATTA